ATCATCATCATCATCATCATCATCATCATCATCATCATCATCATCATCATCATCATTATCATCATCATCATCATCATCATCATCATCATCATCATCATCATCATCATCATCATCATCATCATCATTATCATCATCATCGTCATCATCACCATCATCATCTACGTCGTCATGATCATCGTCATCACCACCACAACCCCCATCATCATCATTATCCTCAGCAGCGTTATCTTTCTAATCATAATCATCTTTAATATCAGGATCATCATCATCATCGTCGTCATCGTCATCATCATCTTTCATCATCTTCACCATCATCTTCGCACGTGACCCCTATATTCTGTCCTTGTGCTTGAGGTAGCCATGCTGGGTTATGCACTCGCTATTCATATACCAAATACCTGGTGTCAAACACGCTCATTTATCACCGGTGTTGCCGCCAGACCTGAGCCAATCTGCGAGGACAGTGACTATTGAAGTTGTCTAGCTTCTTTATGGCTGTCGAGCTGAGCTGTTAGGTTACTTATCCGTACAAAACGGTTTAACGAAGCATTTCGCTCAGGGCGTGGGTGCTGTAACGCTGACTCTACAGGTGCTTTTTATGGGATTGTGCAAGCCGAAGAACGATAAGATTTGTATGTCGAGGCAAGAGTTATTGTACAGCTACGCAACTTTCATCTATGCGCTGGCTTGTTTCCAGGCACCGCTTTTTTTAACTGATTCATGCGAAGAACCTTTTGAATGAATAAGCGAAGTTAGTTGTAATAAAAAGTTAGTTATTTAGACCGAGGTTCCTACATGTTTTCATGCTGTTATTTTTGCTGAGCCTGCTTTGCTGAATAAGCCGTTTGTCCCTGTATGAGCGCGAGCTTCGACATGGTCAATGAAAACCAAGCTAAGCTCACACATTGGTGCTCAGTTGCTGCGTGCTGAAGTGGCGTATCTGTTATAATGCTGCACCTGCAATCGACCGGTTGGTTCTCGCTTGCTGGTAAATCTGCGCCGTTACGCCTGCTATGCTTGACACCTTGGCCAAGCCGACAGGAAGGAAAACAGGAGACTCAGCTGACCAGAATTTCATTAGAACCAAGAACTCATCCTTATAGGTCAGTCTCACCAATCCTCTAAACACCGCCTGGAGGATTTGACTACCTGTGTTCCTTGTACGCCCACGCTCTACACTTGACTGCCGACGCCGTCTGGCCAGTTCACCGTCTTTCTCGGGCACCCCAGTGTTTATCTACCTGCCTGTGGCATAAAACGTACATGTTTTCTGACGCACGATTTCATCAGCTTTCGGTTAGACCTTGTCAAGACTCATGACGTCTGATGCGCGATTTCATCAGCTTTCGGCTGGGCCGTGACAACACGCTCGCGGGATCTGTCCCTAGCACGCTTTGTGGCTAACACGCGCGGGTTGGTAATCATCTTTCTCGCCCACTTGTCAGTATCGATTGGCGATAATTAGACGTACGATCAGAGATGTAGCACGCCGCGTCTGGTAATCGATCATGTACGAAAACGACGACAACCCAACTGGTTTGGAATCTATCCCCCGAAATTTTGACGATTTCTGCACAGGACAGACTAACGAAACGTGTTAGTTGTATCCCTTTTTACCTGTAATCCGCGCACAAATAAACTATAGTTAACTAGGTTACGGAGCTGAAAATACTGACTCGTTCCTGTAATTATTGCAATTGTAAGGCTGACGGTCTCATCCGGGATAGAATTGTGCTGGAGGATCAATGATGAAAATAGCTCAAAGCGGCTGTTACGGCAACGGCAGTTGATACTCATAAAGTGTAAATCACTAGCTGCACACCACATCCAGTAAGTGCGGTTGCCGACTGAAGCAAAGTTATGTGCCGTATACAGTTTACTTGACAGAACTGCAAAGGCTCTTATCAAGACACACGCAACTTGCAACTTCTGCACCGCTGGACACCTGAAGCCGGTGTAATAACCATTGAGAGAGAAAGAAATTGGACGGATCGGAAATCCCAACATAAGGCAAGAAGCAACGGCGGCCGAACAACAAACCACCGAAGGTCACATGATATGTAGCGAAGCGGCCAATTTCCAACTTCACTTGCCCATCGATCAAGAGTCGACGGCGCACTCAACGAGCTGTACGCTAAGCAGTGAGACATTAAGGATATCACCTCGGCTAATGACGAAACGACTGCAGCACAATTGGTCAGCTCGAAGAATAAACGAAAACCAGGACATGGATTTTGTGTACACTCCGGGACGCAAATGTTCATCGACGCCGCTCTGGCGGCAGCTGATCATCCAATAGTTGAACACCAGAAGGAAGAACACGAAGCAGTCAATCTCGTACAGCTGGCAGTAAGGAAACATCAGTTGAAGGTGATAAAGCGTCATACGGAGGCCGACGTGACGTGTGTGGCGTTGCGCGACGTGACTTTGGGTTGATACAAAGGATAGAATTCTGAAGGAATTAAGGCCGCTCGTCAATTTTCGGGACAAACTCATGGTGTATGCTGGTTTGCTGTTCAAAGGGAATCGCATTTTGATCCCACTACCGCTTTGCCAAGCAATACTAGAACACGCTCAATGAGCCCACTGAGGTGTCAACTGCAGTATTAGGAGAGCAAGTGAACTGCTTTTCTGGTCTGGAATGACAAGACAAATTGGTGATAAAGTATCAAGCTGTTCAGCCTGCCGGTCCAACCAGTTGCTCTAAGCCAAGGAACCAGTGATGATGCGTGAGGTTCCAGATCGACCATGGCAGAAAGCAACATTTGACATGTTCTGTGACAGCAGGAAAGACAACCTAATTACTGTGGAGCATTTTGTGGTCGATCCACTCAAACTACGACAACGGAAACTGTTATTGATTAGCTAAGATATCATTTCGAGAGACACGGAATACAGCGGAAACTGATCTCCTACAATTGCCAGCAAGTTACAATTGCTGCGAACAAGTGGAAATGTTCGAATCGACACGCCAGCGCGAATCAAAGTCGGTCCAACGGAAAAGCGGAGGCAGCAGTACAAAAAGCCAAGAGGCCGTTGTCGAAGGCCAGAGCAACTCATGAGGATTTGTAACTAGTGCTGTTGAAAATATGCAACACGCCATTATCGAACATAGGTCGCAGCACGATGAAACATTTGAACAAGACAAAACGCTAATTCCCGCGTCTGCTGAACTCCTACATTCTGGTTCGCCATCCCATGAGCAACAGCCAAGGAATTTAAGAAAACGGATAGCATATCAGAAGCGCTATTAGGACCGCCGTACCCGAGCGCTACCTGCGCTATCAGTAAACAAGGAAGTATGGATCCAACCAATACCGGGTGTAAACAAACGATAGAAGCAAAAGGTAGTGACCGCGAAAACCGAAGAAAGATCTTACGATCTCATTCATTCACTCCTTTTACACGTTAGCTAGAGGTGTAAAACAACTCAGCTACTGTGCCGCAATATGAACTCAGAACTGACAGTAGCACAATCAGAAGAAACCGGGTGCAGCTGAGGCGACACAGGGAACGAGAGTGTGAACCTGCAGCAAAATACTTGACACCTTACAAAGAGGTCACGACGACAAGCGCGGCAGAGAAAACGCGGAGGCAAGAGCGTACGGAGTCTTCGGAGACGCCGATGCGGCTGATCCCGGAAAAGCGAAGGATGTGATGGGATTATGCAACCAGAGTAAAGATAGGATTTACATTGTGAAGCAAGCGGCTACCCTGTTGTAAGCTAACAGCGTAGTTGACTGGACAGCTAGGCGTATTTCGTCTACGCGCTGACTGGTACGCAGGAGTGGGTTTGTTTAAGTGCTTCAAAGGAAGTATCACACTAATGCAGAAGCGTCGTTAATTATGGAGATAACTCAGTTATTTACACCGGGTTTCCTACATTCTTGTCATGCTGTCAATTTTCTGAGCTCGATTTGCTGAATAAACCGTTTGTTCCTAAGAGACCGATTTTTGCTTCGTGGGTGGTTTCGTCGTCTTATACCACTTTCTGTTTTTCAATTCAGGTAGCTTCTTAATCGGCTTCAGCATCAGTGGTCCGACTCCTAAGCTAATGTTGGAGCCTTCTATTTCTTTTCTTTCGCAATGTACTACATGGATCCTCTTGGAGTTGGCCAGTATACAAGCGTAGTATGTTGATCTATTTCTTGATACCACATCCGATATTAGCCTGCGACTATGAGTGGTGACAGAAGAGGTTGGACAGTTCACTTCTTAGTCGACATTAATTGTCTGGTTTTTTAAAGTCCTTTTGCAAGCCATTGGGACACAGTCGTTAACTTGCGAAGGCTGTGTCAATCTTCACCACCGTTAATGAGACTGAACACATAATGCATGTTCAGTTAACACTTCTGAAACTGTTGTAACAGTGCGGATAATTACTCCATCTTTAACTTCTCATTAGGGAGCCGTTGGAATCAATTCCGTCTTATCTAAAACTATTGGCCTACGAAAGTGCTCCTGGAGGTGCTAGGATATTACTCTGTACTTAAGAACACTCGGTATGATTCGAGCGGTCCGTATGTCCCACTGTGTTTTCGTAGTTTTGTGACTCTCCCTTCAGTCATTTAACACCTTCCTGTATATTAAGTGTGGATATTAGGTGGATCAACTCATCTCAAAAGTCTCCAAGATCATTGTGCCATTTGCTCTCATAAGAACAGCAGTGCGGATAAAAGAGTACCTACGGAATTTACATCCGTTGTTTGAACATTGAATCTGATGATGCCCTGGCTATGAAGGAAAGGACCACCAACACAAACGGCTGATTGGTTTGAGCTAGTTTTGAATTAGCGACCTTAAACTACTAGTATCGGATGATCATTATTCACATGTTATTGGGATAGCACGTGAGTGCTTTGATCGTAATTGGATATACGATGAAACCCAATTTCAGTATTCAGAAATTTATTACATCTAGCATGCCTAAGGATGCATTTTAACATGTATAGGCCTCTGTTTTCTACTTGGTAGTAAAGTAATAGTCGCTTTAAACTCACTTGCGTCCTGTAGCACAACTTGTATTGAAATTGGGGATTGGGATATTCCACCTCTTGTGCCTCTTTCCTAAAACAAGTAAACTGCTTGTACCGATTCACCACAGTCCTCAAGATTCATATCATTATCGCCAATGTGTTGTTGTTACAAATTAGGAAAAATATCTAAAGTTTGCTTCTGCTCTCTAATTTTACAGTAAGGCATATATTCAAATATGCTGGATTTCGGTGACTAATATATTTTCACCAACCGAGACGTTTTCAGCCATACATAAAATGAACAAAACGCATCCGTATAGGTAACTTGTATGCGAGTGCGATTCACCTACTTTGTTGGTAACGTAACCTTCCCCCACCGCGGGCCACAGAACAGTGCACAGAAGTTACCGTGGCGTGGGGTTAGAAACTACAGTAGCTGAGCTCGTACATGATTGGATGTGTATCTGCGCAGTAACACGCACACGAATTGTCAGTGCAAACTGGACTTCCCTAGTCCATGTGTGGTGCGACCCACGTCACGTGACCAGAAATGGTCCAGTATGGAAAACGAGCGAATATCAGCTCGTAAGCAAGCATGGCATTTGGAGTGCAAACAGTGTGGTATCTTGAGCTAAACAAAATGTGTTCGTAACCCAGCGTGATTTTTCGAGCTTTCAAAGTGCTGAACCACAGTTATGGACTCTTAGTGCCACATAGGAATAGGAGAAGGTGGTCAAAACCACGCTGCCGGACATATCTCACGCATTAACCGGAAACACACAGACATAGTTGGAGACAAGGGATTCTGGAGTCGTCATAGCAAAGTTTGCACCAAAGGAAGGAACATGGTTAGCTTATGCTGCACCACCCACATCCCCATCCACACGCCCCATTTCCAGGTCGAACAGGAAGTAATAAGACTGCGAGGTAAATATACCATTTCTAACTTGCTGCCAACCTTGACCCAATCGCTTACATCTTTAACGCAATCACTTACATCCTTAGTGCAGAAGCTACCATTTCTAGTGCGGAAGTTTTCCTCCTTAACGCAAAGGCTATAATCCGATAATCATCGCACTTGCATCCACGTACCACTGCGTAGACAGTGGCTACCAGCTAATAGAATTCGGTATAGCGTAGCGACTGAAAACAGTTACGCGCAGAATACTCACGCATTCGGAGCTGGGTAGGAAAACTGAGATTAGCGTAGTCCAACTCAAATGGACGGTAATTGAGACTTTACTAAACGGAGCTCAGCCGGTACACAGTGCGCCGCGCGCCCTCACTGGACAATGGTGGTGTCTGAGACATCCATCGGAGCGCGCACAGTCCCTGAGGGAAGTGAAACGCGTGCGATCAGATCACCGGGTATAAGCCCCTTTTGTAAGTGAGCAAAGGAGATGTCTGAGGCTAGGGCGCAATTGATGCACGCAGGACAACAGTGCACAACGTTGGCTTGGTACTAAAAAGGTGCTCTGAACAAGAGGTGCAGATAGGTTGTCTCGTTTTGGTGGGTATTCAGGCTAGTTCGGTCGGATAGTTGAAAACGCAGTAGAAGATACCGTTTGACCTGGAAGTCAAGTTGTCCGTAACATAAAGAGCGGAACGATCTCCGTCGCAGCAGAATGGATAAAAATCACAACACGTAACTTCTTTATTTATGCGATGAAATAGCACTTTTGTGACGGATCCACAGGTCTAAGTTGAAAGTGGGATAGAAGGTAATCATATTCCAAACAATTCGTCCCCATACGAACCACACAAGTCAAATCTGATCGAGGTAGACAGAGGACAGCTCCCGGGTGGAATGATATAATCACCAATGGAACGATGAAGGAGGCATGTGTTATATGTTTGATTGCAGCCTTGCAATTCCCTTTCAACGGATATGTTAAACGGTGACTTATATTACTTTCCTTCTTGTTCCGCAAGTACGCAGACATGTACTATCTTGTTGCGAAGGGATTACACTACAAGCAGCCGGTCGCGTGAAATATGGGGGTATAGCGAGCCGGTACACTCTACAGCAGTGACTCCCAACCTATGTATCGCCGTGGACCGGTCGGCGTTCGCTAATTGTAACCCGGCCAGCTGAGGGTGTTTTTTGAACGTTTACATTTTAGATGGTTTTGGGTGAATAATGTACTTGTACTTGTGATTGAACATGTCTTGAAAATTCTTGTGTCAGAGCCCCACGACTGCTTCCACCCACTAACGGTAGTGAGAACACCAACGAACGAGCAACAATGTTCACGCAGCAAGCCAAACCGGCCACCAAGCGTCTGTCTGTGCAACTCAACCACAATATTCAAATTAGCGCATATCACAGGCTATGCGGAAAGGCTAGCACTCGATGTGTCAATGCTGGACAATTCAAAAAGCGGGGATCGATAAGCTGCCTCACGAACGAACGGAATACACGAAGTAAAAGCGAATAAGGGCAAGCTTCAGTGTCCATACAAGCTAATCGCAAATGTGAGGCAAAAGTGAACGTATGCGAGGAACCGGAAGAGAGGGCAGGGTGAGTAGGGGTGAGTGGGGCAAAACTCACAAAACAACGGGGAGCGGTGGAGTATTCTTACCCCTGCTATAGCAAAAAGAAAATCAAATTACACCAACAAATAGATATAAAGTGACATAATACGTTAGCTTACTGGAACGCTAAATTACAGGTAACCATGAGCGTGTTCCTCTGCAAAAAGACTGCTCCGTCTGGGGGAAATAGGAGCCAATGACGCTTGATGTGTGCTGCCTAGGTCCAGTTAATTTGATTGCTTTGTGTCGGCTGCTCCCACTGCAAAACACCCCGCTTCACACAGCTAGGTTGTCATAAATGGAACAATGGAACAATGTTTTGTTACGGGTAAAAATGCATTGTTTAACAAGTCCCGTGGGATGGAAATTATTGCGAAAATCAATTGCGTGATAAAGTGAAAAGCGTTGTGGTGGACTCACCATAGACTTATGTGGAATGGCGGAGATGTTCGCGTATTAAACGTAGGAATCCATAAATCCATTGGTTAGGCGTTTGGCAAGACACAGTTTGATTGCGTTTTGTAGCTCCTGGCTAACAAGTCATAAAATGAAATGTAAGTGAGACAATGCATCGTCCACTCGTTTTTTGAATATCGCCAGATTGGGAGCAGAGACGACATAATTAGGGAGGGCGTTCCAAGACTGGCACACGCGGAGAGAAAAGAAATTTCTGCGGCATTCAAGCCGGCTATACTGAATTGTCAGTTTCAGAGGGTGACCTCTTAGTTTAGTGTTGTGGTCCAATTCCAGCAGCGAACGGCAAATGTGGTTTGGGTACTTCAGAATCTGGTAAACCATTATGAGATCTCCCCGCAAAAGCCGATATCGACTGCTGTACATCCTTGGAGATTTCGGTCTAAGCTGATAGGGCAGATGCAAGAGGCCTCTGACGTTCTTGGTTGTCCTTCGTTGAGGAGTCCCGGGAGCAACGAGATCCTGTTTCTGCCACAGCTGCCACACCTGAATAGCATATTCCAAGTGAGGTCGCACGTAGGCGTTAAGCATTTGTGGAAAGATTGGGGGTTCAAACCGACCGAAGGCTCTGCGAAGAAGGCCGAAGTGTTGATTGCCGGTTCTCGTCGCCTTCTCTGTTTGTTTCGAACACCCAAGATCTTCCTGTACCAATACACCCAGTTCACGCTCCTGAGAGACCTTCTCCAAAGTGTGGTCTCCAATCTTGTAAACACTCACCGGCTGGTGACGCAGATGCATCACTTTGCACTTATCTATGTTCAATTGAAGCTTGTTCCGCCTTGACCGTTCATAAATGTAATCTAAGTCATGTTGGAGCAGATCCTGATCTGGCTTGTTACTAATCGCCCGCCATATGTTGACGTCGTCGGCGAAAAGCAGGAAATTTGAGGAGATAACTGATGTCAGATCGTTGATAAACACCAGGAATAAGCGCGGTCCCAACACTGAGACTTGTGGGACACCACATTCCACCTCAATTGGGTTAGAGGGTGATCCACTAACACCTAGTTGAAGCTCCCGTTGGTGAAGGAAGCTGCCAATCCAACCAAGTACAGGATCTCCGATTCCGTAACTCTGTAGCCGTTGAAGTAGGATGCGGTTATCAAGGCGGTCGAAAGCTTTGGAGAAATTCAGATAGATGACATCAACTCCGACCCCATCATCAACCACTTCCGACCAACTACCTCGTGCAATCAGTAGGTTGGTGGTGCATGACCGGTGTTGACGGAAGCCATGCTGTTCCGGTACCAAGATGTTGCATTTTTCCACATAGTCCATTAAAGCCTCAGCGACGACTGCTTCCATCACCTTCACGAGCACAGGGAGGATGGTCACTGGACGATAGTTTGCAGGATCTGAACGGCTACCGTTATAATGCCACACTTCCACATAGTGGGGACTTGTTGTTCATCAAAGCACCTTTGGAAGAACTGTGACAGTGGTTCAGCCAGCTTGTTGGCCACAGCCTCCAGTGCCTTCGGGCGGATGTTGTCTGCTCCCGAAGAACTATGCTCACGCAGTGAGAGTAACGTCGTTAGCACAATTGATGGGTTGAAAATTACATTTGTAAAAAGTGGTGTCGGTAATGTGCATGACATTATGGGACAGGTAGACGTTGCGAGTTCGAAAATTGGGGCGTATTGCAGCCGCAGGGCATTAGCTGCTTCTTCGGCGCTTTGTACTCTACCGCTTGACGTGAAAGGTGGATGGATTCCATGATTCACTTTACGAAGCTTATTGACATGCCTATATAGCAGTTTGTCATTACGGATAAGTGCAGTGCAATGGTTACGATGGGTCAGGAAGTTTCCCCAAATCTCTGGGTCGGGGTTAATCTTGTAAGCACGCCATGCTGCATCCCTTATCGCTGGGCATTTTGGAGTCCTGCTCCTTAGAATTGAAGGCATTTTCGCGGGACGAAGGGGCTTGGTCTCTGGTGCTCTGTTGACGATGTCGCTGAGCCTATTAACGAACTCTGCCCAAACATTGTCAAGGGGACTTTTGTTTGAGAATTCCCAAGCAGCCGCGTCGGCAAGTTCTTCCAATACGTGGTGGCGGGTGATTGTATGAGTTAGTTCCGAG